TATGCTGCCTCGTTGTCACGCTATGTGCTGTTCGTTGCTGCTGGTACCGAAGCAGGTGAACCTGACGCATCCTTCTGCTGCGTCAGGCACTGGAGAAGCAGTAGGCCCTTTGAAGTTTGTTTGTTGCTCTCTGGGCCCAGTCATGCTGCAGCAGCAGCAGCAGCAGCTGCTGCTGCTGCTGCTGCTACTGTTGTTTGGCCGTCTCCCGCGGCGTTAGTTTTGTCTGTAGCTGCAGCAGCTGTTGCTGTGCTGCTACCACTGCAACGAGAGGCTTCTCGTGAATTTCAGTAAGAGATGGCTGTTTGAGAAGGGCTTTCTCAGCTCCCAGTAGCTGTGGCTCCTTCGACGAGCCCACAAGAGGCCCCCAGTTAGATCTGCACTGCCCCTAAAGGCCTCGCCACATTTTCTTAGGGGCCCTGGGGGCCCCGGGGGCCCCGGGGGCCCCTGCCCGCCCTTTGAACGTGTTAAGGCTGCCGCGGTGTATGCGCGGCTGCCGTTGTGGGTGTTGCAGGAACAGGTGCCGGTTGCTGTTGCGTCTGTTCTATGCTGTTGACAGCCGCAGCTGTTCATCGGTTTAATATATTTTTCGAGGTTCCCTGAATCTTTCAGACTGGGGGGCCCCCAATCTATGAAGCTGGGGGGCCCCGAGTCTCTCAGACTGGTGGGCCCCTGTGAGTCACCTGCTGGGGATGTAGAAAGGCCCCAGGGCCAGGAGCTCCAGGGGTAATCCTCATCTATCCTTGGGGGCCAGTTTGTTTCTTTACAAGGTGTCTTAAGAAGGTCTTNCTCCAGGGGTAATCCTCATCTATCCTTGGGGGCCAGTTTGTTTCTTTACAAGGTGTCTTAAGAATGTCTTTGCTTTGAGCTTCTGGGGGAGATAAAGAAAACTTGTGTTGTGGTTGCTCCCATCGCTGCTGCTGAGACACAGAAGTACTCATAGGGGTAACAGATATCTCTTCTGTTGGTGATAGGGCTCTAGGAGAATCAATTGAATGGCAAACGGCCCAGTAGCTCGGGGCAGTAGGGAGTTCAGGGCTGCAAAGGCCGCGTGAAGCATCCACGCAAGAAGTAGATACAGCGACAGAGGCGGTTGCTGCTGTTGCCGCCGTTGTCTTAGATGTTGCTGCTGCTCCTGCTGCTGCTGCTGCTGCTGCTGCTGCTGTTGGTTCTCCTGAGCTGTTGGTAGGACTGTAAAGGGAACCCGCGTTCTCTGCTTCCGACCAGGTGGCACTGCTGTTGCTGTTTGAGGATGGCGTGGGCATTCGTTCATGTTGGTGTTGGCTGCAACCCTGCTGCTGACTGTGTTGCTGCTGCTGCTGCTGCTGCCGCTGCTGCCCCTGTCCATCTTGCTCTCGGTCCTGCTGCTGTTGTTGTTGCTGCTCATACTGCCTCCAACGGGGCGGCAAGCGTGCGGGTCTCCCTTTGTTGAGTCTAGCCCCCGAAGCCCATGAAGGCCTCCGCTGCAACGGCGACAGCTCACGCTCCTCGCTGCTGCTGCTGTTGGGGCTCCACGGTGGCCTGCAGGGGGCCCCCCACGAGTAAACATTTGATTCATATTGACTGCTGCTCCAGGCATCCTCCTGCGCGGCGCCGGAGCCTAAGAGGCCCGGCCCCAAGCGGCGGGGGGGCCTCATGGGGGCCTCAAGCTCTCCCTTTTCTAAGAAATGCTGAGCTGCTTGCCCCGGTATTGATGCTTCCTGCTGCTCTTGCAGCTTCAGCTGTTGTTCCTTTAGCTGCTCCTGCGTCTCCGGTAACTCCTGCAGCTGCAGCCGCTGCTCGTGCTGCAGCTGCTGCTGCTGCAGCCACTGTCGCGCTGCTTTCCAAGGGTACTGGGGGGCGATGCGATCCCGTAGAGAAGACCCAGGAAGAAGCAGCACCCCAGGGCGAGCTGCTGGATCTTCCTGCAGCAAAGGAGCCTAGCAACACCAGCTGTTCGTTCAGTAGCAGCCATAAGCAGCAGCACCAGCAGCAGCAGCGGCAGCAGCAGCAGCAGCAGCGCAGCGGTGCTTTTTGGACAGATATCAGCCCACACTATGGAAACATTCAGCATTTCAGATTTCAGGTTGTTCGGACTCACGCCTTCGGTGGTGAATGGCTGGAGCGGAACAGCCTTGTCGTCAACGAGGAGCCGCACGAGCAGCCGGCCCTTGACCACGGGTACGGGGCATACGTAGGTTCTGCACCAACCATTGAAACACAAAAGGCTGAATCCTCAATTGCTGCTGCGGTGGAGGCGGATGCTTCGTATACAGGAGTAGAGAGGCCAGGAAACCTCTGCGGTGAAGAAACTGGGCACGGCAGATTCAAATACAGCTACAGAGGGGCGTTTCTGCTGCAGTGTATGGGTCCTTCTCATGAGNAGTGTTTAAGGGTTGAAAGCTGCGAAAGCTGCGCTACGTGCGGGCAGCTGGCTCACTGCCGAACAGGGCAGAAATGCATCGGAATCTTCTTTGTCCACTTTGGTGGATCAGGAATCGAAACTTCCGCCTGAAACGAAAGGTGAGGAGATGCGTGAAGGATATCTGCAGTGTATTGTGCGTATCGCCCGCAGCACCCCCTTCTCTGTATTACCCGGCCTCGCCTTACGGCCTGCAGCCTAGGGTTTACGTAGGCACCGACAAACGCTGAAGCTAAAAAAGCAGCAGAAGCAGCAGCAGGAGCAGCAACAACAGATGCTGCCCTTGCTGCTGTGTAGTTGCAACGCCATACCTCGTGACGCTTCCCTGGCGGAGGATTTTTCCACCTGATGACGGTCGTCTGCAGTTCCTCTCCCAGCGCTTTTCGAAGCAGAAAGCCTGCAGAAAATAAATATAAGCATAACAAATCAATGAACATAAGCAAAACCAAACAAGTAACATTGGCACAGCCAAACAATGAATATAAACATGAACAAACAAAGAATATAGGCACAACATCCACATAACAAGCCAGGGGGTAAAAGCATAACCAGATAGTGAATATAGGCATACACAAACCATGTAGATAGACGTAAACAAACAGTGAACGTATACATAGCCAGACAACAACTTTTGCGTACAGGGCCTTCGCGGGACCCTCTGTTCAAATTGCACTACAAACCCGCCGTTTCAGGGTGCAGTGAATAGGGGAGAATGTAAGCTACATAAATATATGCAATTACTTATAATTTAAGAGAACGAGGCGAGTGAAGGTCAAGGGTTGCGATGACTCAGCCACAGTTGTGCATAGGAACTAGGAGTTCTGTTCTTACTTACCTCGAAAACAACTTTGCACAACGCATGCTGCTTCATTCCGCAGTAGAGTTGCAGCTTCTTTCTGAAATTCACGAAGCACACATCACAGAGTATGAATCCTAGCAACTGAAGCGGCAAGGGCTGAGCTACACGCTTGCAGTTTAAGCGTTTCATGCATGCTGTTCTTCATTGCCACATTCCACATGAAAGCAAAACGAGTCGGAGGGCAGGGGCACAGAGTCTGGCGATCAGCAGCTGCGGCACCAGCAGCTGCATCAACAGCAGAAAACACCCCGCAAGCTGCAGCAGGGGCAGCAGGAGTAACTGCTCTCACCAGCTCTTCGAGCAGCCTGTGTTCCCTTTCGAGGCGTCTCCGCCAAGCATTGCTAATAATTTCCTGAAAGAGCAAAAGCAGAGAGATGCACGCGTGCAAATACCACAAATATTCAGAGGATAAACTCACAGTTATATGCAGTTTCATGTGGTTTCTTGGGGATTTCTACGCGTTTCATAGAATCTTCTGCCTTTTAAAAGCCTGTATTTGGATATATTGAGAGTAGTCACACTCGTTATCTCTGTTCTATGCAAGACGTACACAAGCCTCCGCGGGGCTCATCGGATGCTTTGCTCTCCTGCGGCTGAGCGATAGCTGCTGGACGGGAGGTGCAGCAGCGCCAGCAGCGCCTTCTGCTGCATGTTCTCTCTCGCCCTCATTCGTCACCGCCTCTTTCCCCATGCTGCTACCGCTTTTGCCACTGATGCTGTNTGTTCTCTCTCGCCCTCATTCGTCACCGCCTCTTTCCCCATGCTGCTACCGCTTTTGCCACTGATGCTGTCTGCGGCCGATGCTGCTGTCGCGCCGATCTCCCCTAGGCTGTGCTGGATCGTCTATGCCTCAGACCAGTGTGGCCGCTGTGTATCGCCAACTAAGCGATCGCGAAAAGAGCAGGGAAAGGATAACGACAGCGGACAGGCCTCCGTAAAGCGGATGAATGATCTAGTGCTGCTTTAGACGCAGCACTGGCTTTAGCAGCGTTCACGGGACAGCAGCTATTTCGTTCTGTGTGTTTCTTTTTGCCTCCTGCTGGAAAGGCTCAAAACGCGAGGTGGCCCCAAATGAAAAATGCTTTTCAAAGAAACACAAGTTCGGCAAGGGGCAGCTAGGAGAGCCGTTGCAAAGAACCAGGCAGATCCAGTAGGAGTTTGTTATCTGAGAGGCTGCTGGCTGCTCTTGTTCTCGCGCTAGGCCTGGGGCCTTATGGCGACTTTCTAGGAGCAGCACGTCGTCAGCAAGTCCATCTCCACTACCCAGAAAGGACTGAAACTTGCTGCCCGTGTACCACGGCAGACACAATTTTCTATGAGTGCTTGAAGGAGAAGAAATGATGACCTAGGGACGGTCAGTAGCGCGCTGCCGAAGGAGATCCACAAGCATTTAAA